CTTGATCTTAAGACTAGGGATCAGGGCAGTAGGTGAATGAATACAACAGCGAAGCTTCTCCTTCCCACTTGTGCAGAATATCATTTATATTCTTTTCTCCAGTCATCCTTCTGTAGCACTGTGTGTGATAAGGACTCATTGTACTTCAGTGAGCTCTGAGACTAAATGTCATGACAACCCATAGAGATATAATGTCTTCTGACACATTTGCTTAACACAAATGTAACGAAGCTATATAAATTTCAAACCAAGTGTAATATATGCTTCCTTTTGCCATGCATATCTGCTTATCTAAACTTCTGGATTTTGATTAGTGAATTATGAAAATAATTATCTGTTGCCATCAGCTGAAAATGTTAATCATGTTCTTCAAAGCAGTGATAAAATGTGTAGACCTGCAGTGGAAGAGGAGATGGACACCTTACTGCATGTCCTGTGAAATACAGTATTTAAAGTCATTATTTCATTCATCAGTGATACCAGAAGTAACCTCCCAAACACCAGAGAGAGGCTAGTCATATCACACACAGGTATTATGCTGAAAGACTAACTGTATTGGTTTTCTTTCTGGCTTTTGAGGACGCTGTTTGTAGAAGTGAGAACACTTTTGAGAATACTGTTTGTTTTTTCTTTCTTTGCAGAAAAAGAGAAATCATTCTTTGGCTTTGTTTTTTGGTTTTTGGGGTTTTTTTCCAAAATTTTTTGGGGGGCAAAATTCTTGTTAAGGCAAGAATTATTACTATTACTTGCTTTTAAATTCCATTTATAGCAAATGTGAGACTTCTGTTGCCTTACCCTTTGGTATTTACCATATCTTGCTTAGAACTCATCAATTACTATGAAGAATGCTACTGCATTTCCACTTAATGCTTTCCAGCAGCTCCACATACATTCAACACAAGTTGAAATAAATGTATTAAAATTACAACACAGACTGCAACTTTTCTAAGGGAAATCTTAGGCTAGTTATCAGCTTTTCAGAAATGTGAAAATTGTAGGTTGAATAAGAAAAATTGGTAAGTAACTTCTCAACTGGTGTGAGTGTTGTTATAAGGGAGTCAGACAGCATTCAGCAAATTGAAGTGCAGCTTCTTTTAGGAAGGGAGATCTCGGCTCAAAATCTTTTTCTCTTATGTAGTCTATGGATTTGCCTATTGTTAATTCATTCCAGAGCGGCCAATTAAGCAGGGGTGGTAGTGGCTTTAGGTAAATATCTTTGTGGCATGAATAGTCCCAACCTGTTCTCCAAGCACCGAACCCATCCCATTCATTGTTTCATTAAGTCATTCTGCTCATCTGTCACTTTGAAAGTGGCATAACCTCTTAACTCACCAAAACTACACATATGATGTATTGATTTGCGGGTGGAATTTAGGCATTTTGATCAGCAAGGCTCTCTGAAGGAAATCCAGTCCTTGTGACGATGTTTAGTCACATGAGTGCTATTCAATGATGGCAGTTCAGTGACAGCATGCTGTAAAAGACCACAGTAAAAAATATAACTGGCACTCAGCAGAGCTTTTTTCCAGTAGCTATTCTAACCAATTCATTCAAAGTCACCTTTAAAAAATACCAATTACTGACTCTCTGTGCTGCTTCTCCCAACTCAGAACAGCCAATGCTGTTGTATTTCACTTGGTTCTTATATAAATGAGGATAAATGTGTGTGCATTACACTTGTATGAGTTCAAAACAGTACCCAAAAACTTGCAGAAGGTGTGATCATGATGTTCTTTACCAGAAAGCAGTACTGCTGCCTGTTCTTCCCATCACTGTCTTCCCAGTGCAGTAAATCTCCCTTGCCTAATTCATGGATGACCTTTGAATAAACAGCATGAGCAGATATCTGTATTAACATATTTCTGCAGTGCAACTCAGATCTCACAAAACTACCACCTTATTCCTCGTACTTGAAGAGACAAATAAACGTGTCAGCTCTATTTGGCTTTCTTTTGCTGTTTGATGCTCACTCATTTAATTTCTTAGACTTTTTTCCTCTTTGCATTTTAGAAGCATCTGTATTTAATTTATGTGTCCATGTTATCCTGTGTGGTTCTGATTACCATCATCACTATTTAATGAACATCTTTGTATAATCCATAGCAGAAATTAAAAAAAAAATAGGATTTACTTTTGTTCATTAGTTGTTTGGTTTTGTCTTGATATTTCATTAATACTGGGCATATATGATTTAGAAAGAAATGCCTGTCTTAAGGAGACCCTCCTTTTATATAGTTTCTGTAGGCATCTGATGTAGATATTTTAGATGTTCAGATGTGTGACTTGCAAGGAAGCAATGCCATGAACCTTTTTGTATCAGATATAATAGTGTACAGAGTGTTTGCCTGCCTTTTTAATAGTTAAATGAACATTCTTTTCTGTCTTGTTCCTGCTACAAAATGGAAAATAATCTTAACATTTAACTTTATGTTTTCCTATTGTCCAATTAGTGGTAACTGCAAGAAAAGCATACAAAGCTGGTTTATGATATTTCTGTAGCAACCTGTTCATTGGTAAAGGTCATCGCTGAAAACTGAACACAAATTTCAAAATTACAGAAATAGAATAGAATAGAATAGAATAGAATATTTCAGTTGGAAGGGTTCTACAATGATCATCTAGTCCAACTGCCGGACCAATTCAGGAAATAAATTAGTTCTTTTGCATAATGATCCAAATCAAAGTCAAATATAAAAAGCTATAAACACAACCCTGGGAGAATTGTTTGAAGGTGAATTTATCAATTATTCGAAGGGGTTAGAACACCTATTGCTATTTAATCACTCTAATATTAAATTAGCAGAGGTTTATTGTCCACGGAATAAGGACATACTAGTGGAATTTCACATACATTACTAAAAGTAAAAACTTTCTTGTGTTATCAGTGGACCATTTATCTCTGGATAAGTTCTGACAGAACAAGTAGTTCACCTGTGTGGTTGTTAAATACCACAGAGGATTTAGTGCGTTTGCAAGAGATGGTTGGGGAATTATATACTGCAGCCACTGTACAATTTTTTCTCATCCTGTATGTTATAGTTTAAACTATACTCATGGATACACACTTTTTGGTAGCTGTATCTCTGGGTAGCCTTCAGAATTCATACTAATCCTGCTAATGACTGGTGGGTAGTCCGAAATTTCAAGGAGGGTTGAGTGGTTATTTACCATCGTAGCTGACTTTAGATATACTTTTCTCCTTCATGTATAATGTCAGGCAAATATGAGCAAATAGTTGAACAGATGTGCAGCTTTAGGTTTCAGAAATATCCTGAATACAATAAGGAAAACAGAAAACTGATTATTTTGTTTCTGAAGGATAATGCTCAAAGGGTATCAAGGAGACTAGAGAATAGAATGCAGTTATGTTTTCATAAACGGTTGACATGTTTTTAATAATAGGTAACTCCTTCATAGTTCTATTTATAAATATTTTAGCTGTTAAATGTTAACTGAGGAGATTAAATCTCATTGTGAAGGCATAGTAAGTGCTACCAAGGCAGCAGATCTTGTTCATTTGCTCCTGTTGTTTCCCTTATGGTTTGAGTTAAAACAGTTGATTTTAAAGGTGGGATTATTCATAAAAGCTCTGCAAGGGCTAGGATTTGGTCTCATCTCTGGTCTTCAATCAAATAGTGATATCATGCAATGGTGACAGTTATTAATTAATTAATTTATTTCCCAGTAGTCAATGAGGAAGATGCTACTATAATTGGACATCTTAAAATCAGGAGGTCTGATACATTCATACAACTCTTTTTTTTTAAACTGGCCAAAAGCCTTTTGGAGAGTTAATATTTTCTTCAGTAAATGTTTGGATAATGCAGAAGTCCCAGAGGACATGAAGGAAACTGAAGGATGAGAAGAAAACTAGCAGTGAACCAAGGTGTTATAAAGAATAACCCATAGGTCTGTCAAGCTGACATTGATATAGGAAAGAATAATGAAAAAAAGAAATTAAGCAGGGTAAAGGAGGCAACGACAGCTGATACTGATTATGGAAAACATTTGGGAAATAAACTGGATAATTTTTTAAAATATTTTCATACATTTGTTTGCTAGAGGTAATAGTGTTGATGCATATGACTTAGGCCTCTGTAGGGTCTTTGTCTTATTTTTATATGGCATTTTGGTTACTAAATTATAATGACAGAAAGTCAGCAGAGTAGTTGTCATAAAAAGGATGAAAAGTGATTACAAGACAGGATTCAAAATCAGAAAACACCGCTGAACAGCTTCTACAGACAACATACAAGTTCATTTACATGACATTATCAGCCTGCTAGGTGCTTAAAGTACATGGGGTGGGGACTTATGCACCCTTATTTCTTTTTATTACACTCAGTTTCATGTTACTCTTGTAGCTACATTGACCTGTCACAGGTTCTTTTTAATTTTAGCGGTGGTTTAACTCACAGCACAATAACAGCAAGGTAAATGGAGATGTTTAAATTCCCCCTGCAAAATCAGAGGAGAGTCCAAGGCCTCGTTTTCCATAAAAATGCTTTTATTAGCACTTGACAAGGAGATTATGCAATGGCTCCAGCTCTCGGTGGAATAGCTGGCGCTGGCATGCGAGAGCAGGAGACTGCCAAAAGCCTCTGCATGGTTTGGCACCTATGAAGTGGCTGTCAGTTTACTTATGTTCCTACTCTGACAGTCACTAAAAATAGTCCAGGTGGCTGCTTTCTACTGATGAAGAAATCATGTCCCTCTGGATATGTATGTTAGGAGGGAAGGGAACAATTAGTGAATTGCAGTTTATTTACTTCCAAGTTTAACAGTTAAAGCTATATAGGAGAGCTTTCATGTTTGTTATAGTTTCTTGAAAAATACTGAACTATCACAAAGAAAAGAAGGCTATCCAGTGTGGAACATGAAATACCGAACCTGTTTTGCTCCTGAAATGGCATTTATGGCATGACTTTAAAATGACTTAAGTTTAAGCACACAGTTATTTCTGTCTTAATAGTAACTGATGCACTTTTTTTTTTTTACAGCCAACAATCAGCTGAAGACCTTGCAAGAGTACCTGTTAATTCTACCAGCAATATCTTGAATAGGCTATTGCTCAGTTATGATCCCAGGATAAGGCCTAATTTCAAAGGTTTGTCAGATATTTCAGCCTTTTTTTTAATCTTTAGAATTTAACGTTTGCTCTTTTCACACCTAGAAAATTTATATAGAGATAATATTCACAACCTACATTTCTGTATTGTATTTTTTTTTAAATGGAAATTTCCCTAGATAGTGTGAAATTGCAGAAGGTACTTAACCTTTTGAGCTGAAAGGTAATATGTTAGGATTTCATGATCATAATAGTATGTGATGCTTTATTATCATCATTATTATTATTATTATTATTATTATTACTACTATTACTTTATAAAAGGTTTTTTAAAAATAGAATTAGATTTTATAGAATAAGTTTTTAAAATGTCTTTTTATCCCTACATTTTGGTTAGACTTTAGTGTTATCTCCACTTTACAGTATTTTAAAACATCAAAATTCTCTATAGACATCCTTTAAGATGACTTTATAAAATTAGGATCAGCAATATCACTATTTGGAAATGATACAGTTATTAAATCCTTTAAAGATATGTTAGTAATACAGCTTACATGCTTTGGGGTTTCAAATAGGTAATGAATTTAAACACTTTCTCTAAATTTAAAACGTCTCCCTGGTAGTCAGATGTAGGAATCTTCCAGGTAGGCAAATGTGATTTCCTTACATATGCAGAAAAGGTTGGAATATATATTCTCTGCAAAACCTCTAATAACTCATACAGCTCTAAGTTACACTTCCCAGGAATTAGATTATCTCCCTGCTGGAAAAAGACATAGACAATTTTATTGCATTACAGACACTGCAGTTTACATACATCAGTTCTTTCATTTTAAACCTTATATTTAGTTAAATGTACATTAAGAGATATTTTAACATGCATATCAATAGTTTGAGAAATTTGGAAATGTATAATCTTTATTGTGCTTTTGAAGAGACCATTTTCAGATGTTCTGTTTCACAGAGTTTTATAAATGTATTAAACTCAGTTCTCAGCAATTTTCCTGCTTCTTTCTGATTTTCTGTAGAATCATATTTATATGTTTTCAGCACGGAGCCTTGTCACAAAGAATAAATGTCCAGCCTCTGTTCTACCTGTTCTTCAGCATGATCAGCTTGTAATCACAAAGCATGTTGCAGATTTCTTTATATTTTTGATAACCCTGCTGGCAGTCTGGTAGGAATGAGGATGGAAGGAAAAGGGAGGACATGTAATGTTAACTCACAGGAAGGTGGAAGAAAAAGAACATTTTCTGACAAGTGGTTTGCCCATGTTGAAATGTTCCTCACACATGAGTGACTTTCTTGGATGGCACTTCCTATTCAAAACCGGAAGAGATAGTACACTCTTGGCTACTAGTGTGGTGGTGGGTGCTCTGTCACACACATCAGGCATTAAACAAAGTATTATGCTTATTGCATAACCAAAAGCATCATACTTAACTGGTCTGATTTAAAAAAACCCAACAAAACACAAACTGATTTAACTGAAAAAAAGTGAAATTTATCTTAGTGATTTTCTGGTGAACCAAGAGAATGAGTTTGAATTTATGTAAAATGTACACCAAAATATTTTATGCAGACGAGCAAACTATAAGATGAGTCATATATTACTTTGTACTGTATTTACTTACTCTGTGAAAATAGTCTTCATATATTCTTATATTTCTTTTGTTGCTGAAAATAGGAAGAAACCACTAAATTAAGTATTCGTAACAGTGTAAATGAGATCAGATACATGCATCTAATGTACATACTGACACTCAACATATAGGTGCTAAATAAAACTAGTGGACCATAATTAGTTCTCACAACCATCAGGCCACTTCTCCTTGCTTCGTGATAACTCTCTGTTAACACCAGATTAAATGACTGCCAATCAGTTCCCGCAGGGTGACAGAGGGCAAACGTAGCAGCTGTCACCCCATCCCTCTTCAACTACAGGAATCCTGGCTGTGGAGAAGAGGAAAAAATACAGGCCATCTTAATACCCTCACAGCTGCTGGCTTCTAGAAGTTTTTCTTGGCAAATTGGTAACCATTGTAAAATAGAGCAGCTTTCCAACCCTCTTGCACCAAGGTGAGATAGCTATGAAAGCTGCATGCAGCAATTTTTATCTGCCTGTATTCATACTTTACAGTTATGTACTTGACTTGCACAAAGAAGTATCCTCTTACAATATAAGTAAACGTCTCATCATAAATCATAAACAGGTAATTTGGGATGATAGATCATCATCATGACCTTGACAGTTAAAAGTGTCTGCTGCTAGAAATGTGAATTACCTCTATCCATTAAACCATGTGTGAAAGTAATACTGGACGGTGCATTCTGTGATAACAGAAAATCATGGAATTCAAAAATTATTCAAATTTGTCATCTGTAAAATGCTTTAAGCTTAGCACTCTGGACTAAGGATTTTTTTTTTTTCTGTTTTCTTATCACTAGGTTGAAAAGATTTTTTGTGATTTCTATTGGCTTTCAATGGAAGTAGATAAAACCACAGCTTTTGAAAACTGTTATATACTAACTTGAAAAGATAGAGTTGTATGACCCTATAAAAAAACATTTCACATTGTGATACCATTATAAAGGAGCTTTAAATGAAAGATAATGTACCTTTACTGGATTGTGCAGTTCACTAGAAATCTTTTTTTTTTTTTTTAAAGGAATTCCAGTCGATGTTGCAGTCAACATCTTCATTAACAGCTTTGGGTCAATTCAAGAGACAACTATGGTAAGACTGAAAGGAAATTAATATAGCACACACGGAGATTTTATTTTTAAATTAAATTTCAGGCTGAGCATTATGAACTACAAAGTAGAAATTATTGTTATGATCGTGGACACTGAGAACTGAGTTAATGAGGTTAGTGATAGACTTACTGCTCTTTATGCCATAAACCTATTAATCTATTTCACTCTATATTTGTCCACAGATTGTTATAGCTTTTAGAATTTGATGTATATGAAAGCAAATCCATGGTTTCTAAGATGCAAGAATTACACTTATTTCCATAATTTATTAAATTCGGGGGAAGAACATATTTGGTAGCATGAATTAAGTAATCTTCCTGAGAGTTAATATATAGGTTGCTTGGTGTATTACTAAAGAAAATACTAGGACTTTATATGAGGGAAAAAGAACATACATGCATAAGGCTGAAGCATACAGGTTCTCTGTTTTGTGTAGACCTGAGGATAGGAGTAAATTGTGGAGGAATAGAAGGAGAAAGACTAAAGGAGTAGACCATCAATGACCATACTCTTACTCCTGTTTATTTAATGTGTGAGAGAGATAAACTGAGGAGTGAGGTTTTTAAAAATGTGTTTCCAGTTCAGTCAGAAAATGTCAATATGTCAATAACAGCACCAAATAATCCTCATTACAATTTTGACTTTTATTGTTTCTTTAGGAAGTAAAATCTATTTCAAAATAAGAAGTCATTTCAGCAAAGCCCTTTCCAATATTTTGGCACTTGATTTTTTTTGCAATAGTATTTCCAATAAATACTATCAAAAATATTGCCAAAAAAATGACATGTAATTGTTGAAGATGTTCTGACCTGATCAGGGTTTTTCTTTTGTGTAAAAAAGAGGGGAGTACACCATGTCTCACCAGTACGTGGGAAGCCACAGCCAGGGCATGCACTCAGAGTGGGAGTTCTGACGTGCTCCCTGAGCATCCCATTTAGAAATAACTTTGGTGATCTGCTGCATCCAAAGCATTTAGGCAGTTTGCAAAATCAGGCTGCTTTTTTCAGTGCTGTGACTAAGGCAGCATTCCTACTCATAATGGCACAGAAGCAATAAACCATAATACAGCTAATAAATAATAAAACACCTTTTGTTGGTGGTGAAAGTAAGTACCCACTTAAAATTCAGAACCAGCTTACATGATACCCTAATGACATTTCAGTAGGACTGCAGAGCTGCTCAGAGTTAAACATATGTGATGGCTGAAACAGCTTTTGAACAGCTTGGCCAGAAATTTCTGTGTTATTAAGTAGGAGTGAATAAAGATTTAGATTTGATTGCAAATGATAGTCAGTGAACTAATGGCATTAGTGGGAAGTGATATTAAAACAAAGAATGTAGGTATGCTGAAGATACGCTGAGATTTATTTCTGAAAACAAAAAGGGGACTGAAGTTTAAAGAGGGGCAGGGAGGAAGAGCAGGAAAGTAGGAGTAAGATAACTGTCTAAGATGGCAGGTATATTAGGCCAGATGGCCCTTTCAAGTTTCTGAAATTTATTGCGTGCTCTTAAAAGTGACTTTTACAGAGCCTTTTTTACAATTCACTCAGATCCAAATAGTAACAAAACATGAATGTAAGGAGTGTGGTTCCCCCCCCAAATTAAATATGCTCTCTGCAGCAATGTACGTATGCCTGTCTGTGAATTCCTGATATGGTCACTCACAAATTTACTAGGATGTTCTATAAGTCACGCTCTCCTCCATATTTCAGAACTTCAGACACCATCCTTGCTTTAATTTATGCTTCTATTTAGATTTCTACATCCAGCCAATCACCATGATAGCTAAGCATGTTTATGTGAAGTGTGGATTACTTTTTGGTTGCCTTAATGTATCACAGGAAGTGCTGACAAAAGAAATGGTCAATCTGTTCTTCCACATAGCAGTTGGGAAACTATTCCTGCTGCAGTGGGTATTGGGTCCTATGGACATCAGGAACCACTGCCCTCTTGGGGATAGGCTGGTACTCGTCTTCAGATGGTCTGGGTAATGCATAAGATAGTAGAAGCAAGTCCCTTAAACTAGGAAAAAACTGTTACATCCAGAATCACAGGAAAAGTGTTTCCTGGAGCTGAGGCACTAAGTCTGTGAAGGACCAAAGGGGCCTCTTGCATTCAGAAAGGAGAGATATTTGCAGGCAATGACAGAACTGCTGAAAAAGGTCGGTCAGTGCTGGAGAAGAGAGTGGCTGTCTGCATCTCTACTGTCTCAGGCGTTTGTGTGAATCATGAGACATATTGATTTCTTGGCTGTCTCTAAAGTTACCAGAAGCTACTAAACTGGTTGGAGTGATATCATTACTGGTACCAAAATCTGTGAAATAATATATTTCTAAGTATTTCAGTTGATGAAGTATCATGATGATTCTTGGCTCTGGTGCCACTTCTGGCTATAATGGCTGAATTCATAGGTTTTTGCAAAATCTATGTGGGGGTAAAGCATCCTGTTTTAGCCATGCTAAAGGGACAATTCCTTCTTTTGGGTGACGGAACGGTGGGGAAAAATAACCATGGGTGCCAGGTGATTGGCAGTGAGGTGGTGGTAGAGGGCCCAACAAACAAATGTGTAGAGTGCCAGTGAGAAAAGGCCATTTGGCATGCTGATCTCCTTTTGTTCAGAAGGATGTTAAAAGAGATGCAGAAGGAAATATCTTCAACAAGATGTCCTGTATCCCACTCTTAGACCCTTCTCTGAAATAGCCAACTCTGGGCTTAATGTCTGGAACTTCTAACTAGTCAACAGGCTCCCACAGTGTCCCTCATCTTGACATCATGGTGGCTGGTTCTGATGGTTCCTCCCCTATTTCAGGAATCCCACAAAACTGTTTTCAATTATTTTTGCTTTCTGTCCTTCTGGTCCCATGACGATTGCATTCTTAGCTATGCAGTTGGCTCATCCTCAATAGGAAAGAGTAGAGATTACCTCCCACTGAGGTAGAGTCTACTTAGTTTTAAAAGAGAAGGGATTTTCTTTATAGAAAATTATTGACAGATTTGAAGTAATATTGGTTTGAAGTAAGATAGGACCCATAGGGTGGATCCTATGCCCAGAAGCCTGTATTGGTTTAATCAAGCCCTTGTGAAGAAACTGAAGGGCACATGTTTGCTCTGTGTCTAGAAAGGGTAGTGTTCATATTGTGTTGCTGAATACTCGAGAGAATGATGACTTTTTCCCACACATATCAAACAAGTTACCTGGAAAAACTAAACAAAAAATTAGTTAACTACAGAGAGAATAAGAATTTGTACAGGTAAAATGGGAAGAGCTTATACCAGGGTGGGTACCTTCCAATAAGCTCCCTTTATTTTGAATCCTGTCACTTGTTTCCTTCTAGCCCATTAGACTCCTTGTCTAGGATCCTCATGCTAACTCTGCTTCTGATTTTGCAGATGTTTTTTTAGACTGCAGATTTGTGGGATAATATGGTGATTATGCCACATTTAGAAACTGTTATAGACTGGATGACCAGTCAAGGATTCCTAGGGAAAGATGCTTTCTGGTATAAATACCCATAGGCCTATAATATTTTAGCTGTGCTGATAATCTGTCTACAGAATCTGTATTCAAGGTTTGTACTTGCAGCGTAACCTTTCTTCACTGACTCAAATGGCAAAACACCACTTCCTCCTTCTTTACTTTAAAACCTTGCAGAAAGGTCTTTTTAATATTTATGTATATAAAGGAAAATTCAGTTTCCTTGTTTTAATCTTAAAGATGCCATTTTCTACTTTATTAAAAGACAGTGCTATTATGCTTCTTTTCTTTGTATGAGTGCAGTTCATGTAGAAAAAACTTTTCATGATCTTCTGTGTGCTCCAGTTTGCAGAGAGTGATGTATTGGCTATGCCTGGTTTCTGGCCTGAGGAGTTTTTCTGGCCACATGCCCACTGTTTAGTAGGTTTCATTTTAAATATTTCCTAGAATGCCTTCCCTTTCAACCTCTCTGAGAACAACTTGCGTTCTGTTGGAGTTTCATGGGAAAACAAAGCCCTGTAGAATCCTTCTGTGATTCTTTTTACCTGCCAGGTTCCTCCTAGCTCTAACGCTGATAAATGTCTCTTCCACCCCCTGCCCCTAGTTTCAAGCTTTTTAATTGCTGTTATGGGTTTGTGTGGTGGGGTTTGTGTAGTGGGGGAGGGGCTGCAGGGGTGGCTCCTGTGAGAAGCTGCTAGAAGCTTCCCTGGCTCTGAGTCAGACCCACCTCTGCCCAGGCCGAGCCCGTCAGCGACGGTGGTAGCGCCTCTGGGAGAACAGATTTAGGAAGGGGAACCGGCAGTGAGTAAGGGGATTGGAATGTGAGAGGAACCCCTCTGCAGACACCGAGGTCAGTGAGGAAGGAGGGGAGGAGGTGCGCCGGAGGAGGGGATGCCCCTGCAGCCCCTGGTGAGACGGCAGGCTGTGTGTCCCCAGCCCACGGAGGGGAGCAGGGGAGCAGATGCCCACCTGCAGCCCGGGGAGGACCCCAGGCCAGAGCAGGGGGATGCCCCCCAAGATGGCCAGGACTCCATGGGAAGACCCACGCTGCAGCAGTCTGTGCCTGAAGGACTGCGGCCTGAGGAAGGGATCCACGCTGGAGCAGTTCATGAAGAACTGCAGCCCATGGGAAGGACTCATGTTGGAGAAGTTCATGGAGGACTTTCTCCCGTGGGAGGGACCCCACGCTGGAGCAGGGGAAGAGTGAGGAGTCCTCCCCCTAAGGAGGAAGGAGCAGCAGAGACAAGGTGTGATGAACTGACCCCAACCCCCATTCCCCGTCCCCCTGCGCCGCTGGGGAGGAGGAGGTAGAGAGAAACGGGAGTGGGGTTGAGCCAGGAAGGAGGGACAGGTGGGGTGAAGGTGTTTTAAGATTTGGTTTTACTTCCCATTATCCTTGTTTTGATTTGATCGGTAGTAAATTAAATTGATTTTGTTTCTTCCCCAAGCTGAGTCTGTTTTTTGCCCGTGACCATAAGTGGTGAGTGATCCCTCCCTGTCCTTGTCTTGACTCACGAGCTTTTCTTTGTATTTTCTCCTTCTCATCCTACCCGGGCTGGAGTGGGAGGACTGAGTGAGCAGCTTTGTGGTGCTTTGTTACCAGCTGGGCTTAAACCACGACAATTGCTATTTGACTCTCCTTTATTATAAAATGCTGATCATTCTGCAATATTTAAAGAATGTTTGTAAAATGTATAGGAGGAAGACCATGTGCTTCATGCAGACCACTTCTTCAACCCGTTGAACCTAACTGTAGTGCACATACTGAATCTTAAAATTCGTTGCCAAAATTTGAGAGAACTGGTTGCAGACTTCTTTCAAAATAGATTTTTACCAGATCATAATCTATACTGCTACCAGATGCTGTAATAGTTCATATTCTTCTAAGAAGAGCCCTTCTGCACATCATTGTCTGGCTAACCGCAGTTTTGTATCCTGACATCTCTTTGCTTCCTTCTACATTTTCTGTATTGTCTCAAGTATGTGGTGGCCTTTCTCTCCAAGTACTCCCTGTCATAAGTTTCTAGTCCTTTAGGTAGGTCTGAACCTACCTATTTTAGGTTAATGGGATTTTTCTTCCATTTACTTAAATGGGAACAGAATCAAGTTCTTAAAATGTCACAACGTCCTGTTGTTTGGTATATTTAAGTTCATTTGTAAGAGAGCAAGGAAGGAAATAAAATAGCATCCACCTGATCTTACTGCCAATTCTTATTTTGCCAGTGCATTCTGCTTTTCAGTGATATAAACATCTCCTTCTGAATGGTTAAGCTGAAGGCAAGTGGTAGACACTGCTTATCATTTGCCTATGGCTTTGAGAAGGCATCTTATTTTGTTAAAACTAGGGTAGTGCAGTTGTTTATGGGGAAATTACTTTTGGTGTAATGAATAGTGTAATGCTTGTGAGCATGAACGGTATGCAGTATTTATCTCATATGGTTTAAAGTAATTGTTTTCACTGAGACAAGAAGTGCATATGGAATGGGAACTTCAACAAGAAGCAAGTAAAGTAAATTTTCAATTATATACGTAAAATTGAAAAAATGCTTTCTGAGATAATGACCTGAATTCCCTCCTGTTCTGAAGCTTCTCTATGAGAGCCTTCCAGTACGAAGTCATTTCATGTTAACTATTATTTTATACTTCTTCTTTACTTTGACAAGATAATATAGGTCTTTGTATAAATCAGAGTCAGACTACATATTTTTTCAAAAACAAACTGCCAGCCAGTAACATCTCTCAGAACTATGCTTATTAATAAATATTGCCTCAGTTCTTTCTACTTAGTTTTGATGCTTTGTTTTTCCTTACAATGCAGTAAAGCAAAATATTACACAGTATAGCGTAATAAAGAAATACCTGGGCTAATCTGACTGGTGGACTGGATGTGGGAGAGTGGGCACCGTATTCCAATTAATGGGATAAATCAACAGGGTAAATTATTCTGCATGAGGTCTTAGCCAAGTGAACTCCTTGCTGGAGTTAGCATGACTTTCTCAACATGGCATTTGCTTTGGGCTGTAACTGTATACGTTGCAGTACAGCAGAAGACAACTCACATTGTATCAACAGAAGAACGTGTAAGAAAGAGGGCACTAATGTGTAAAATAAACAACTTTATAAAATCAGACTGTTATGCAGAATACATTGACAAACCAAAAATATGTTGAGAACTCACTGATTTCTAGCATTTTGCTGTAATTGTAAAGCAGTAGCAGTGTTTTCACTGTTTTAAAAGAAGCAGCCTTTATCTCGGGATGCTTGGTACCTAATAGACAATTATGAAGAAACAAAACACACCATAGAAGACAACTAGAATGACTGGAGATAGAAGTTATCTTACATATAGAATTTTGGTTTATTTGTGGTTTTTTTTTTTTACTTTATTTTGACAATACCTTTATTCTTTTTCTGTATGTGATCTGCCTAGTTTACATATACATAAAAAAGAGGCACTGACTTAAATGTAAATGTAAAAAGCAAAAAGACTTAGAGGTAAGACTGAAAAATCATAACTGACATACTGGGTCAGATTTTTCCTTTGGATGCACACAGCTTTCACTAAGGACAGAACAACATGTGGGTATCGTTTTGCCCTGAGACACATGCTACTCCAATTCCCAAAGGCAAAATTAGGTTCTCACTGAGCATGGCTCTACTACTGTCCATCCTTAAGCGAGAGTCCTGCTGAATCCAGAAGGAAGTTTCCTCTGTGTAAAGCCTTGATTTTGTCTCTTTGAGACCTATTCTGTTTCTGCTTTCATACAGGCTACCTCAGTACTTGTGTCGCAAGCTGGCATCAGTTTGCCTCATTTACCAAAATAGTCCCAAATAACTGTTACAGGGTCTGAAGCTGTATTCTGGGTGTGTAGTGTAAAATCTATTATCTACCTGGTCTGTTCTTTGCTTTTATAGTGTAATATTTTGCCATCAGTGTGCCACTTAACCTAAATGGAGAATAAGCTGGAATTTACACTCACAGAATATCCTGACAGAAGTGATAACCGAGCCTGCTGCCTGCAGCAGTTTAGGGTAGTAGAGCTATGGCCTCCCTCTGCCCTGGTGCATGCTTTTCTCTGCGCCTAGGAAACGGGGCTACTATCAAGGGGATGCAAAAATGATTCGGGGGGGACAGTTTGGTCCTTTTTTTAAAGAAAGTTACTATATTCAAAACATGAGTGAGACACCATCTACCTATTTGTAGTAAAGTCTATTAACCTTAACACTTATTAATGTCATTTGAACAGTGATGACCATCTTTGTGATAGAAAAATCAGGGCATAAATTGTTGTTCTCTTCAGAGTCTGATAGAATCATTTTCTTTCCCCGTGGGTTTTTGGCTAGAGTTTTGGCTAGTCTAATATTTATGTATTCTTCCCATCAGGATTATAGAGTCAACATCTTTCTAAGACAGAAGTGGAATGACCCCAGACTCAAACTGCCCAATGATTGGAGAGGTTCAGATACGCTGACAGTGGACCCAACTATGTTTAAATGTCTTTGGAAGCCAGACTTATTCTTTGCAAATGAAAAAAATGCTAACTTCCATGATGTCACACAAGAAAATATCCTTCTTTTTATATTTCGGGATGGAGATGTCCTAGTCAGCATGAGGTATTTTATAGATATATTACTACTGTTTTTTCAAATGACTTGATATGAGATATATATGCTGTGTTAGACTTAGTAATGTAATACAGTTTATGACTAATATTTACATTTATATGACAGTTTGTAAACAATACTACAATAAATTAAATGTGTGTAAAGAAATCAGATGAAGATGTTTTAAAACTTGTCAGTTGATAGCACAGCAGGTACGAGAAATTTGAAGTGTATGTACGTTTTTATGTCATGTTAAGCTAACACATTAAGTAAACTAGTATTATTGGAAGCAAAATTTAAACCCTTTTGATAATTGCTTAGATTCCTGGAAGCACAATGAAATGGATAAGATATCTGAAGTAAAGCCTTCAGCAAAACAATATAATTTGCACACCACTTGAATTTCTATGTCAGCTAAAGAAAATGATGATTACTTACTAATGGTATAGGGAAAGGCAGAAATTACAAAATTTGTGAATATAAATTTTTTGTAAAAGTACTGGGACATAATCCTGATTAAGTTCTGTGCCTTACTGGATGTAGTTTTTTTCAGAAGACCCCAAAATATTGTTTAATTTCATTGCAATTAATGCATACTTTTTCGTGGTTTCACTTGGTTTATCGAAGGTATACACCATGCCATAAAAATAATCATCCACTGAAAATAGCAAATTGGTTGATTAAAAAGGATGTCACAGTGAATTACAGATCTGGAGAGTTAATAGACACAATGATTTGTAGAGATTAGGCTCAGTTTCCTAACAGTGAGTGAATTTTCTTCTGGTGTGAATTGGAACATATTGCCCTGATAGAGGAAAAAATGATTACCTGAATATACTGCAACTTTACCGTTAAGAGGGAATCACTTCTGAAGTTATGGTCACATGACCTATTTCGTCCTGGACTAGAATTGGCTAGAAAAAAGAAAGAAGGTGGGAGACTCTGGGTTCTTTTTTGCCCCTTCCAAATAAGGATGAGAAAACTCAGTCTCAAGACTTTTGCAGATATTGATCAGAAAAGAAAATATGTTGGGCAATCAAAGCATTTAATTTGGCTCACTCTGAAGGTCCTGGTTCTGATTTCAGTTGTTCCTGTAGCAGGTTTTGAAGTCTGTAGAAATTAATATTTCAAAATAGAAAATCACTTTCAGCTATAAAAGAAACTTCTCATTTGAAACAGCAAATGTTAAATGAAACATTGATACTTTTTTCAAATATTTTTTGAGGTTGCAGCTGTTCATAAATGAGCTTATTTCGGGCAATAGGTTAGATTAGTGAATAGTGAATATTGAGTTAATACTAATAGAAGGGTTTCTGGTGGAAAAATTCTTCTCTGTAACTTCCAAATAACATAACCAAATTCAGTAAAGTTTGAAATTGATGTTGTCCTCTAAAAATATTCTGTGGATTTTAATAATACACTATCTTCATAAATTATATGTATGCAGGTAAGATTAATTTTTTGAGGCACTGAGGTTTGGTGACATGCTACTAAGATTTTAATTTTTAAAAATATATAATTGCGATGCCTTGTATTTTCAGTTTACAGAGATATTACCCATATAAACGAATCTCCAGTTATCAAAATATGTGAATGATAAAATGTATGTGAGAGAAAGCTGTTGCCTGCATAAACAGCTAAGAATTAGGAAACTGAATGTAGGAGTAAACAGCTGGTGCTTACATGAGGGGAAGTGAGCAGTAGAGTCCCACAGAAAAATCTCTTCTGGGTCCTGTGCTGTTCAACATAAATCATCTTGAAAACTGAATTGGCAGGCACTTTTGATGATGCCAAAATATTCAGGATAGTAAAGGTAAGAGAAAACAGTGAGAATTACAAATTAATCTAATGACTAGGCAACAAGGTATGAGATGAAATTCAGTGTAAATAACTGAAAATTATGCATGTGGGAAATAATTATTTTAACTTTATATAAAAACTGATTGGTTTTGAGGTGGTTATTACCAGCTAGGAAAACACCCTTTGGGTAATAATGGCTAGTTCTCTGAAAATGTCAGCTAATGGCTCTGTACTGGTTGAGAAAGTGAATTGAATTCTAGGAAGTATTAGGGATTAAAGAGAATGTCATGCCACTGTATAAATTCATGCTATACTTGCATCTTGAATACAAGGTGCAGTTCTGGTCTTCCCACTGCAAGAAGGCAGGCAAGTATGGTCAAAGGCATGGAACAGCATCCTTGTGAATAACAGCTAAGCAAAGCAGAACTTTTCACACTAGAAAAAACAAGATAATTGAGGTGGTAGCACAGAGGTCTCTATATCATGAATAGCACAGAGAGAATGGATGGACATTGATTTTTCACCTTCTTTTCCAGTAAAAGAACTATGAGACAGGCTCCAGATAGATAAAAGTAAATGATTAGAGTGTGTGCAGCTTAGCTACGGCATTCCTTGCTGCAGGATGCTGTGCATGATTAAAGTTGACACGGATTCCAGAAAGCAACTGAAAGCAGAGCAGCTTCTTGGAGGCAAAAAAAATCTGTCGAGGTTCCTTAAATACTGAAGCATCACTTCTGGTTTAGGAAGTCCTTGAGGTGCAGCTTTTGGGAGACTGCTGGATATCTGGTGAAATATAATTTCCTGATTGCTGTAGTGTCATAGTCTTCTTCAGGAGTCTGCCGTTGGCCACTGCTGGAGACAGGACTCTGTTCTGTATGGAACTTTGGTTTAGTTATTTTTATGACTTACATGTATTTTGTCATGTATTAGTAGTTCTCTAATTTGTGAACTACTGTGTGTTTAAAACTCTCTATAAAAATTTATTATTGGACTACCAGAGATAGCTCAATTTCAAACTGCTATTTATTATAAGTTTAATTAATTTTTTCTGCTATTTTAGAAGCTGAAAACAAACACCTGTGATTTTTTTTCTTATTGCCATCTACTACTTACATGGCAGCTCAAACTGTTTTTAAATTCAATTTCTGTATTTTCAGATTGTCTATTACTCTGTCATGCCCTTTGGACTTGACCTTGTTTCCTATGGATACACAGCGCTGCAAGATGCAATTGGAAAGCTGTATGTAAATCAGTCTGTGCATAAAAACAGTTGCCTTCTAGGCATGCCTGAGAATCAAACAAAAAATGATCAATTCTGTATTGCTCATGTCAACATTTTTAATGAATCTTGAAATTAATATTCACTGGTTCCTACCAATGTACTTCTCCCTATCAAAAATGTTTCTTACGGTTATGACACCAGACACTCTATTTTTAGCTTTTGCTATCAAACATAATGACAACTGATGAGTTTTATAAAAACATTTACAATAAACTTAATAAAATGGAAACACATATCATTTGGAAAAAAGAATCCATGGTTTTCCAGGTAGTTTTAACTTCCACAACCTGTGTTGCTTTGTAGGTTGTTGGGGTCCAATTTATCCCCTTGAACTGATGATGCATGGTATCATTTTAAACTTGTTTGATACGGTACCAAAGGAAAAGTATTTGATGCCAATACATTGAGAGCATTTAGTATGAAACCTTTTGAAAGTGGTTTCAAGGTGTGTTGTGGATGTAGTCAGGCATCTCTCCCTTACCAATCCTTCCCTGGTCTCTAGGTGATTTGATTTTATGAAGGGACAGGCAGGTCTCACCTCTGAAGGGCTTCATGCCATGCTGGAAGTTGCAGCCAAAATGTTTCTGAAACCCATCTTCTTTCCTGCCCTCCAAGTGCAAGGGAGCCTACTCAATTACAGCCTTTTCCCAACATTCTGACCCCTGGTGATCCCACTTTCATTGTAATTTTTTTTTTTTCTGAGTAAGGACAAGCATGGAGCAGAGAGAAGGAAGGTGGCTTGCTCTGGCCAGCTCCTGGACAAAAACTTTGTTCAGTTGTTACTCCACCAGGTCTGGTGGGGAAGGTGCTGTCAGGGAAGGGAAGACAAAAGTGAAGAAACAGCAAGGTTAATCAAAGCTGAGCAGGGCATCCCAGTGGGGACAACGGTAATAATAATATTAATAATGATACCAGAGCTTTACAATTTTGTCATTGATTGCCAGCATTTACCTTTAGAACGGTAGTATGTCCATAGTAGTTTTGCCCATCACTAATATGTATGTACATGAGCTAAAGTAAACTCTTATAGTAAACCCAAATCAGTTTGGGGTTAAACTGGAATTAGATGGTAATATTAATGGAAGTTTGCTCAAGCTTTCTCAGTCTGGGTTGCTTTACAAGCATTGCAGGGCATAGTTATTCAAGGAAGAGCTACTCATAAAAAAATTATCAGTAACTTTATTTAAACAACCTTATTGTCTCTCTCCATGCTAAATTGATATATTCAAATTCAGGAGGAATTTGCTCCTTTAGAAAGGCAGTGTGCACTAAACTTTCTTCTTTCTACCTTTTAATTCAGTTGACAAAAGTAAGAATGGTACCCATGACTTTCTGTCTGTCCCTCCAGTTCCAGCAGTGGGCTTGCTTTCCCTGTTAGCCATTGGCAGTTTTATTCTACTTAAGTTATTTTCAACTCAATATTTTATTTCTAGTTGCTAGATTTCCAAAAGGAAAAAGGCCACCAGTTTTTACTAAGCTGTTCTTGTGTCTGCAGTTATGATACCCAGTTCCCTATAGACAAAAATTTCACTGTCCAGTAATTGTTACTATAAAGGATCTTGGCAGTTTTGTGATTTGCTGTGTGTTGTAAGGGGGTGAGACTGATTTTATGAATGAAGCATTAAAACATCTAATTTTTTTTTATATTATCTTCCATCATGGAGTTTTGAGACATTGTGATTTTTATAAAGTTGTGAATCTTACAGAAGTTAGCTTATAAACGATTTACCTTTTTTAGTCACAGCTGTTTTTCAAAGGTAAAAAAAATAATCTAATGCCTCCAGAAAAAAGAATAGTTCTTTACACAATTTTCAGAGGCTTTGAATTGCAAAACGCTGCATTCCAACTCCCATTCTTTTTGTTTCCCCATCTCTGTTCCCATTTAACACACATTATCTCTGTTTGAATTAAGTTAATCCTTAATAAACAGAAGGTAGCAGAAAAATGGCATGTAAAATCATAATTATGATTATGCATATTTAATCAATATTGCTTTATGCTTGAATATTGTGAGCTTACCTTTCACTGCCTCTCACTTGGTGGTGTTGTATGTATCATGATTTAGACACTCACATGTATGCTGAAGCCTGTCCATACTCAGGAGATCATGAAGGCACTGAACTGATTTCAGTAGGACTACATATCTAAATTCCTGGTCAAGTATTTCCTGAATGGCAATGCTTTCATGAATCAGGGCCTTTAATCTGAACAACTAAGCAGAAAGGTTGTTTTACACAAAACCCAAGATTCATCACAGTAATTGAGTTGTTAAATTCTTTTGAAGTTACTAGGACTTGTGAGTGCTATTAAAGCTCAGTATATTTTTCGTGCTTTGCTGAAGTAGAGTATGAATGAGTACGAAGACTTCAAAGCTGTGGAGAACAGAGCTTTGCTTGCTTTGTTTAAACAGTAAGCACTGTAACAAACACCTGTTAATCAGTGTAATATTGCTGATAATGTAATGTTCCACCCACCAAGTCCTAATTTAGGCCTACATAAAAATTCAGTTGTGGATTATTTAATTTTTGTATTTAGTTCTTTGAACAGGATATAGAAAGAAAAAGAGTGAAAGAAATACAATACATGTATGCTAGATTTTCTTGCAGAGCTTACTCTGATTGAGATGGTTCTTTAAACGATTATTATTATTTTGTTCTTGTAGTTGGTTACACAACTGATGACTTACGGTTTATCTGGCAGTCTGGAGATCCTGTACAGCTGGAGAAAATTGCTCTGCCTCAGTTTGATATTAAAAAGGAGGATATCGAATATGGTAACTGTACCAAGTACTATAAAGGCACAGGTAGGTAATATAAGTAATTTCCTTGGTAAAAAACTTAAAGCTTCCTTCAATTACTGTTTATAGTTAATGGTTAATATTCCTGTTCATGCCTTACATTTCATGGGATAAAATAGATTACTTTTAACTAACAAGTAGTTCATATAATAGTAACTATCATATGTGATTACTGCAAACTAATTCAAATGTAGAAACATCTAGGTTGAAGATGAGATTAAATGTTTGTCTTGGTTTTGCTTACATGTCTTGTGATCTTACTAGCACCATTTTGTTTCTATAGTCCTAATACCCATTTATGCTTGTAAGTGTCTAACTTTTCGGAAAGGATGTTCACATAGAATTATGCCAGTTGCAGCAATGTAGGATGATTTTGGTTTTCTGGTCCAACTTTTGTTCCAGAATTGGATAGTATTAGAGTGTAACTTCACATGCTTCACCCTGCAGGTTCTTCCTTTCTCTAAGTGTTTTGGAAAGTCTGTCATTATAGAAAGCTGCTTACAATCTTTGGCCCTGTATTTATTTCATCCTATGATTATCTTCTGAGTTTAGGCACAAATTTATCCAATGATTTTTGTACTCTGGCTTCTAATGATTTATCTTTTCCACCTTGATTGATTCCTGCTTATAATTATATCCAAAGTACTCACATACTGTGGCAACCACAAGACTTTCTACAAGAAGAGAAGTCAGCAGGGTGTATTTTAGTGAGTGCTCTTACATCATATGAATACACCTCCCATTAAAACTCAGTGAGGATGGCTGTGGTGCTGCAGCTTCTGAGGATCCCCTGCAAGTTTCTCATTGACTATTCAGCTGAAGTTGAGGGTCTGTTACTTGCAGTTACTTCTGAGCTAGATCCCAAGTCTGAAGAGATCTCAAGTAACCTTAGGAGATCTCAGAGTTAAAGAATTTAACTTGAAAAAGATAATGAAAATTGAAATGGGGTTTGTTTTTTAACTGCAAAATGAGGGAGTTCTTAGCCTAACTGCATAACTCAGCATCCCAGGTGATTTACCTTTTGTAATAATATGAAATTAGCTCTCCTCAGGAAAATTCTGCATTTGTGAAAGCACAACTAACAATTGGCAGTGATTGCATTCAAATCTAAGTCAGGATATGGTAGAAGCTTACTTAGCAGTGAGAAAAATATTTTATTCTTTATTAAACAATGAATTTACTGAAAAAAATAGGCTGTAAAGTAGTGAAATGTTAAAGGATTGGATCTTGCAATTCCAAAATAAAAGTTATACAAATGGAAAAGTTGGAATACTTACATTCTCTCTGAGGGAAAAAGGAAATACTTACTCAAGATTGCTATCTTGTTATTGAAGTTATCATGATCATTTTGAGTTTTGCCCTAAATCTAAAATTAAACATCTAAAAAGTCTTTCGATATTTTAGGTATTTTTAGGAACCTTAAAGAAAAAAATCTAAGAATTGTACACTTTACCATTAAACAGGAAGGAAAATCAGTAGTGTTCTCTCAAGTTTCGGCACCTTGTGACCACAAGTTGAAATGACACTGTGCAAAATGCTCAGTAAAATGGTCACATTGTGTGTGTGTGTATGTGATTTGAACATTGAAGAAAGAACGTGAGAGAACCATCGGAGGGGGTAGAGTGACAACATGAAGTTTTTTAAAGTTTTCCTAATTCTTTTATTGTGAATCCTTTTTGTTTAAAAATTAAGAACATCCATGCTAATCTCATAATCAAGACTGGAATTAATGCTTCATTAATGTGAATGGAATATTTTAGTACTCTGAAGTATTTTTAAAGGGTGTTTTCAGTAATCAGTATTTGTTTGATTTACTTTAAATTCTTATATTGAAGGTATTTTAAAAAGCAGATTTTGCACACATAGTTAAAATTAATTCAGTTAAGGATTTCACAGGTAATCAAGAGGCAGTGTTGCATGTAGAAGATATTTTTCAAAATTATGGCCTATGTAGGAGATTCTTGCCAATTGCGAAGAACTTAATCTTTACTGCCAATTTACGTCAACTGAAGTTTTATCATACCTACCTAAGTAGAAAGAGGGTCAAGAAATTTGAGGTGACTTTTTGTGACAATAAATTGAATATTTAAATTTGCAAATTGCCTATTCTTTGTTTATCAATATGTATGACAGATCCAAATAGATCCTTGTGAGCTGAATGGTGAGAGCAGTAGATACTATTCTCTGTCTGATGAAAGATGATTCAAAGGCATGCAGAATGCATTTCTGGCATAAAGCAAACAAATAATGATTTTGAAGGTCATCCTTCATTTGAAAATAAAACCTAGGAGTATCTGGAAACTCTTCAGAAATTATAGAGGGGAAATTTGTCAGACAACAGATCATTGAAGAGGATAGAATGAACTATAAAATACTGTATAGTGTCTTATACCCAGAGAAATTTTTCCTTAATGTTTTATTGTTATGTTGTTTTGGTTATTGTATGCCCAAACAGCACTTTTAAGATAACTTATCATTCTATGGCACTTAATTGATAAAATATAGAAGATAAATAGATATATTTTTGACAGATTCTATCTTCTAAATCAGCTTTCCACCAACTTGATTGATGGATATAGACTGATCTGTATTTTGGAATTGTTGTAATATAACATAGGAATGCCTTTTTGTTGTGATAGAATAGTTTATGAAGTTGTTTTTACAATGCTATAGTGTTAATATTAACATAAAAATGCCAGGTCTACCAATTGAGTGAAAATGTGAACAGAATTTGTGTTCTGGTTATCGGACTTCCTGATCCATCTGTTATCTCCAGCAAAACCTCTAGTATCTGCAGCTTTATTTTTTATTGAATTCATCTTAACAGGTATCTTCTGAAATGTTTGTGTGCTTTAGATCCTCTTTTAAAAGATTTGAGGCAGTATTCCTTATTTTTAAAATTTACAGTATTTTTAGAGTCTTTTTTAAAAAGTCTCTACCAATTTTAGAAGTCACCTGTACCAGCTTTCAGTACTGGGGTAATCTCTGCTTAGTCACATTCAGATCACCTCTTTCCATTCTAAACTCTCTACGCTAATATTTCTTTATTCTATCTTTTGCACAAATTAATGCTAAGTAGGATTTTCAGATGAGCTTAAGCTAGTATGACTGCTAGACCCCATTAGTTTTATCTGGACTGCATCTTGAAGCCAGCATCAAGATGGGAGTCACTTTAACTGCCTGTTACTGATGCGCTGTGAAAAGGTGGAGGGTGCCTTACAGAGCACAGAGAGTACCACATGCCTGACCACACTTGGTGGTTATATAGATCTGTGTTTTGAACAGTATTTTTTTCAAATTGAACTCTTTGCATTTATAAAGAAAATCAAATCCTTGAACTTTTGCTCTTAACTTAAATAGAAAAAAAGCCTGGAAGATACGGATCGGAAGAGGTTGACCTGCAAAGCACATTAAACATTAACGCATTTATTTCTTTAAAGGTTATTACACTTGTGTAGAAGTAATCTTCACTTTAAGAAGACAAGTTGGATTTTACATGATGGGTGTTTATGCTCCTACACTGCTAATTGTTGTTCTGTCCTGGCTGTCATTTTGGATCAATCCTGATGCAAGTGCTGCAAGAGTCCCACTGGGTAACCTGCGTTTACGCATACCGTCACAATCCACTTTAACGCCATTGAGTCATTCTCAGTTGCTTTGACAACATGACACTGGACACTGAAAGCAACTTCACTTCCATTATCTGCTCATCATTTTCACTGAAACCTCCTCATTCCTAGTACTGTAAAATCCACCTCCACATTAAGACTTTGCTTGATAATGGTTCCAGCGTTTGTGTGATAAGCACACTGTCTCTGCTTCTCTCAACCCAGACAAATCTGATCTTATCCACGTTCAGGTGATGCTGCAGACACTGTGGCAATATGCAGTTTATAGGAAGTTGAACATTTGAATAATCAGTAAGAAATCAGGATGATGGGTAAGGCTCTACATAGCTACCCCTTGGAGGAGTTTTTCTGAATTAATAGAAACAGAATGATGACTGGAAGAGAATTAGCATCCTTGTTACCTGATTGGCTTTATTTCATTAGGGGCTCAGTTCATGCAAGTACTTCAGGCTCGTGCATTCATGCTGCTCAGCACCGCGCAGTATGCGGGCCCTTCATGTATTATGAAATAGTAAGACATGGAGTTAATCCAAACAATATTATCTTGACTAATTGGATTGTACATGGAACTCCAACTCTGGGGTGGCCAAACCTGCTGACCCCAAGAGCTCAATGATTCTCCTATTTGGATTCCCTTCCCCATGCCATGACCTCTCCTGCCCCATGCTCTGGCCCCCCCTGTGCTCCCCTTTTCCCTGGCACTCCCACCTCCCCAAGTCCATACTCTCCAAATCTTTTCCATGTCCCAGGAGGTTCAGTGCACCTGTTTCCAAGACCCCAGGGGTGCAGTTGCAGAATCCCTCCAGCCACCTGCCTTCCTCAGAAACTACTCACCCACACTTGGACCTCCACACCCCCACAGGACATGACTCCTGTGCAGCTTCACGTGCATGAATGTGTGTCGATAAGCATGGGAGACCCTTGGAGTCAGGACCTGCCACATCACCTTACCAATCTGTGTCTGTGATCTGCAGAGTCTTACAGCAGTGGGTAGCTGAAATCCCTGTTAAGAGCTAGCTGGAGCAGGAACGGTGCTGAGTTTTGTTAGGTGGAAAAGCATCCATGTACCCCTGGCCTGAGCCCCATTACTCCCATCTCAGGTCACCTACCATGCCTAGTCCTCCTCCAGTGATATGACAGGCAAAATAAACTAAGAGCCGCAAAACCCCCACAATTTAAGAAGGATGTGAAGGTCCTTGAATGCATCCAGAGGAGGGCAACAAGCTGGTGAAAGGGCTGGAGGAAATGTCCTGTGAGGAGCGGCTGAGGGCTTTGGGCTTGTCTAGTTTGGAGAAAAGGAGGCTGAGGGGCGACCTCATTGCTCTCTACAACTTCCTAAGGAGGGGATGTGGAGAGGAAGGTGCTGATCTCTTCTCCCTGGTATCCAGTGACAGGACACGTGGGAATGGTTCACAGCTGCACCAGGGGAGGTTTAGACTGGACATTAGGAAGCATTTCTTTACCGAGAGGTGGTCAGACACTGGAACAGGCTTCCTTGAGAGGTGGTCGATGCCCCAAGTCTGTCAGTGTTCAAGAGGCATTTGGGCAATGCCCTTAGTAACATGCTTTAGCTTTTGGGCAGCCCCAAATTGGTCAGGCAGTTGTACTGGATGATCGTTCTAGGTCCTTTCCAACTGAAATAGTCTATTCTATTGTAAAATCTGGAGAGCCGTGACTGGAGTGCTACTTCTGGCTTGTGAACCACAGTTGACTACCTTGCTCTGATTAAATGTAACAAACCCACTATTTCATTATATTTATTGTATCTTTTTTCTAGGGGTCTATTTCAGAATACAAATCAGGTGGGGGTTTTTTTGACCTTTAAAAATATTAATAGTTACTTGGGGAGGAGTCACAATCTGTATTAGTTTGATAGCAAGTAACAAATATAATTTCTTACCTTGAGAAGTAGCAAGGATTCATTCCATAATGGGAAACACAAGACATTTTAAGAAAAGAAGTGTGGGGAAAATGTAGCTTGCATTAAAATAAAAAGATAGAAGCAAGAACTGGAAATATTTTTCATATAGTGAGCTCCAATATGATCAAAACCTGACCTGTATTTCCACTTTTATCATCCTGCACTTCAAATAGCCAACCAGGTAGGCTTATTAATTAGATTTATAAGAGGCATAGTGCTGATTTATGTAACATGGATGTCTTTGTGACTAAACATGCATGCTTATTTATTGTTTGTTTCATTTATTGTAAGTGTTTATTGGCTCCTTTTATGTATTAGCATTTCAGAAATAGTGCATTTTCAAAGGTACTAACCATTGGCCTGGCTATGTGACTTTTCCTGAATCCCCAGAGAAGCAAAAAACCTTAAATCTGACAATCCTTTAGTCATGAGTCAGTATTTAGTAACGCAAGTTGTTAACACTGTCACTGGGGTAAGAGTTATGTGTCTCCAATTTGAAGGAGGGCAACAAACTTGCTCTTCTAGCTACATCCTTGAGATAGTTGACCTTGAAATCTAACAAGATTAACATGTGTGTGTAAAATGAATGATATCTAATCCCAAGAAAGTGTTACCAATGGCCTCTACACTCTCAAAGGCTAGATACAGATCTCATCAGATGAGAAGCTACTACAGATTTACTTAATATCTTAATGCAGTCATCCCTACAGTTAAGTATAGTGGGCCACTGCTCCCCATGGCAAGGCATCTCGGAAGTTTCCAGGTGATTTAGGAATACCAGACACTTTGCAAGCCAGTAAGCAGAATATGTTTTTGTAGACTGATTGATGTTCTGGGAAAAGGATGTTTGTTTGAAGAAAAAGCCTGTGTCCATGTAGGAACTGAATAAGTTGCAAGCCCTGTTTATACCTGTCTCATTTCACCCAACTAGATCATCTGGTGGTAGGGAAGTCCACAAAGGACTGGTGTCTGGACAGCTGTGGCTATGCAACACAAAGGCTGATACCACTGAATGCTTCTGTCTAATTAGATGCTTGTATTTCACCTTTTAATGAGCCCAATGGGACTGTCCTCAGTTCTTCACAGGTGGAAAGCGTGCCAGCATCCATTTAAAAAATTCCTTTCTTTCCTTCACTGCCATGTGATCCCCAAAGGGAGTAAGATCTTCCGTGGAGCTGTAGGGATCTGAAGGGATATCAGACTTCTGTGCCCCCGCAGCGGCCTGATGGCATGGAGCAGTAGTCCAGAGTGCAGACGGGGGGGTACAACAGGGTAACTAAAAGCTTGGAGTAGTGATCAGAGATATATTCCCCACGTACAAAGGACAGCTAGGTCTGCAGCCGGGCATGCCCCTCCCCCCACCGTCACTCCTGTCCTCAGATCTGTCTTAGTTCTAGTTATTTCATTTTATAAAATCGTAACAAATGTAGGGTCTTGAAGGAAAGATGTAAAGATACATGTTAAAACTGTAGTATGAAGAAGGATTGGCAAGATTATGTCTTTTAGTTTATGAAGTTTAATGAGAGAAGAGAATGTATTAGAGATACCAAATTATAAGGAAAGCAGGACAGAATATTACCTTTTTCAATAACATTAGTGAGATGAAGCCAGATATTTTTGAAGCAGTAATATAAACCAGAAAATGCTATTTTATACAGCACATAATTAATCTGTGGAATTCACTGCCAGGAGATAGTGCTGAGGCCAGTAAGTTTGATGGATTCAAAAACGGGAGATTTATTTATCTGGCAGCATGTGCTGAAGTGCTTTGCTGGACTGACACTTTCAGATATTATCCACATGTAACCTTAGGTAGAATTTTTAAAATAGTAGCTCGGTACAATCATGCTTTAGTCTGGGAGCTGACTAACCTTACTGAGAAGCTAAACTTTGCCATCAAGAAGGATGCCACACTAGGGGCAAAAATGCAGAGGTATTTCCTAGAAAGGCCAACTTTCCCTTTACTTTGCAAGGGTGGAGGAAGGAGCTCTGTCCCTTCTCTTTCGTGCTCCCTGAGAAGAAAAGGGGGATTTTTTTGTTTCTTTTTGAAAAAAAAATAAAAATAAGTAATCTTGCAGTTTAATTGTTCATTCTCCTCACTCAAGTTTGAGCCTTGAGCTTTGGATTGTGTTAGGTAGGTACCTAGTGCAGCTGCTGCCAGAGGTGCAATTTACAACTCTGGTGCTACGGTCTCCAAGGCCATGCCAACTCTGATCTGGCAGCAAATGGTTGCTTAGTAGAGTATTTCTGTGCTTCCATCTCATTTTATTGTTACCTTGGAAACCTAGAAGTTTCTCAAACTCTGAGAATGAACTTTTCATCCTAGGAACCCAGACAAATGGAAATTAGCGGCAGGTCACCATGACCTCAATTGCTCCACTAAAATCTTTTCAGCCAGTAGAATTTGTAAGTTATTTTTGTAAAATTAAATCCAAGATTGTAAGATCTAGTATTTTAAGCTCTACGAAGTGGTTGTACAAATGTTTTCAGCACCAAGCATGGAAGTAATACTTGCATATTAAGATAGTAAGCATTTTTAAAGTTAGCAAGAAAAAAATTACAATATTCAAGACGTTGAGCCATATCATTGGCTAATTTGGTTATTCAGTGTAAGGATAGAGACTGCCATTCAGAAGTCGAGCATAGACATGCGTGGTACTTGATACAGTATACTGTTAGAGAGCAAACAGCAAGCTGGGCATAGGCAGAAGTGTCCTGTATATGTTAAGAGGCAATACAGCCTTATTAGTACTTGTTATTGCAGTTCCTTATGATCCATAATTAGTGTTCATCCCCAGACAGCTGGTGTTGGTCAGTGAAAATAATTTTTTTTAAAAGGGGACTATTCTATGCTCACTTTCTGTCCTTATGGGAATGTTTGTACTTGAATGCTTCCGATACAGTAGATGGAAAATAGACCAGAGTGGACACTGAGGATTGTCTATTCAGTATTTGCCATGTCATTCTGATCTGAGATAGCACATCTGGCCATTCTGTGTTATCCCAATGGACAAAAAAATCCAGCTTTGCAATGATACGTTGATATTACACATTTTAAATAAAACGTCATAAAATTTTGTATTTTAAAATCGTATGACTGTAATAATTTCTTTATACTTTCTTTTCAGTGTTTTAGCAGCTAGTAAATTGCCCATTTGAGATTAATACCAAATAAAGTATCATATCAATCTTATTAAAATCCAAATGGGAACAGTAGCAAAAGAACGATGTGTTATTTATGATCAACTAGAATTGAATACTTTCATAGGCCAATACAGATACTTACAGTTTTATTAAGATTTTCACATCCTCAGTTACTTAAAATGGATCTGAAGAAAATGATCTGTCTATGAATTACAAAATTTTTCATGTTTTGGATAGCACATGCGACCAATATAAGAAATGTAACATTTTCTTTAGACACCAATTACATTTCATGAAGCCACCCACTCATAACTAAAGATTTTTATCATTAGCATTCACAAAACCAAAATGCAACATTCTGAACTGGGAGGTTGAACTAAGTTTTGTGCACGTGACAGCCATTTCTAAAGTTAGCTTTTTCTAAATGTCCATGCTACTATTTCCATTTCATAGGAGCCTGTGGGAAATCTTTCTTTGAGATCAGGCTTATATTTTGTCTCTTATGATGTGAGCCTTGTGTTGATGGTGACATTTGGAAGCCTTGTTAGGAGAAATACTTGTTGAAACCCAGTTTGACGTTGAGTGTGACCTTTCAGCAGTCTTTGCAGATGCGGGTGTTTTTCATGATAAGGCCTTCCTGAAACACACTTTATCTAGAAAGCTTACTCTAGATCCTGGAAGCTTGGATAGGGAATGTTTGTAGACCCTCAATCGCCTCAGTGTTTTCATCTTCACAGTGAATTGGGAACACAGACTTTTTAATGTGCTGATACAGCTTTGCTCTTCAGCAAAAACTTTTAAGTAGCATATATTTCTCTTCCATCTTCCCAGACTAAGATGCACATTGTAAGGTATGTCTTTGGAAAGCCCATTTCCCAACTGTGTGATGGGGTAGGAAAACCACAGCAACAAGTTTAGCCTCACTTACTTGTTTCTCTGTTTATAAAATGAAGGTAGTCATTATTAATAATTCATCATTAACTTCAATGTCCTGCCTAAGTATTCAGTTTAACTTGTTCATTGACTGAAGGCATGTGCACTTTGTATACCTGCTGCACCGACCACATTGTGAAGTCCCATTCACTGTTACAAAACATCATTCAGTATTGTCTGTTTCAGAGGAAGAGCACAGCCAGTGTCAATAAGGGTAAGTTTTCTTTAATCAATATATTGTTTTTCTTTTTGTAGGTATTTTCTCAGTGCTCAGCTTGGCATCTGAATGTACCACTCTTGCTGCTGAGCTTCCCAAAGTGTCTTACGTGAAGGCCTTAGATGTCTGGCTGATTGTTTGCCTTCTCTTTGGGTTTGCGTCCCTGGTGGAGTACGCTGTGGTTCAGGTAATGCTAAACAATCCAAAGAGAATTGAAGCCGAAAAAGCAAAGATTGCCAAGGCAGAGCAAGTGGAAGGAAAGGGTGGAAATGCTGCCAAGAAGAACACTGTGAATGGCACAGGGACTCCTGTCCACATCAGCACTTTACAGGTAGGAGCTGCGAAGCTGTGTATGCAAAATCAGCATTATCCTCTATTAGCACAATTCCAGGAATATACTGTCATAATAGTTTTGGATAATGCTTAACCTTAGAAGTGGCCAAGGCATTAAAAACATGCTGGTAATTAATAGCTACCAGTCTGACCAATTGGTCCCTAGTGATTTGGGGTTAGATGTACTAAATGAAAAATTTGCTTTTAATATCCCAGCGCCATGGTTGCTGCTGAGCTTCAGGTAAATAAAGTAGCAAGCAGCTTTACAGTTGCTATTTTTCTCATAATAAATAGCAGCTGTCAAACTGTAACTATTCAGAGGACAGTAGTCTTAATCAATATTTGCTGAGAGCATACTCGAATAACACCCGTCTCATTGCTTACCCCGGGATGGCCACAGCTGTGCCGCATTGCATGTCAAGCATCTCTGAAGCCAGGGATCCAGAAGTCTTGGTATTTGTAAACAAAAGACAGGTCTGTTTGTCTGTCAAACAGTTCCTGCATTTCTTGTGTTGCCAGATAGAGTTTATGGGTAAATTGGTCAGATCTCATTATGCGGGTAAAGATGACATGTACATCTTCACTGAGGCCAAAGTTTTCCATCATGTTGCTAAATTCCTGGTGTTGTAAAACTCCTCATTTGTGCTCCAAGAGTTATCAGACATCCCAGGCCAACTGCCCTCAGTCCTGAGGGATATTTAATTGACATTTATTCCACAGAAGAAAATACGTTATGCTACAATATGTGGAATATGAATTTGGCTTATAGTTTTCAATGACTCAGCAATTTTGATGTATAAAAAAAAGCTATTAGGCCAGATCCAAGTGATAATTTTGGTAATGTACAATATGATTTTAATGTTTCTTTAAGGAGGAAGTAGTTTATGCCAGAATGGCGGAAACCCTGTCCTAGTATCAAGCTGGCATTGCCCCATAACTGATTACCCCCAGTTCAGAGGAGCTGCCGATATCGCAGAGCGATGCACTTAACTACCATAATTCTCATCTGGTAGAAGAGTCATCTGGGAACTGTTTTGGCAGGCAACCAGGCTCAGCTTAGAGCAAGCCCATGACTGCTTTGACTTGTGTCACAAGTAATTCCCCAAGCTCAGGCAACGTGGGAACTGAGTAGAAAAAGATGGCTCCACTACAGTTTTGCTTCCCCTGAACTGAATGTGATATTTTTGTGTTCAGCAATTTGCAGGTCCCAAATGTAGCCATTTCTTGTGACAAAATAGTTGCAACAGTCCAGCAGAGCAGCATAAAATCTGTTTATTCCTATTTCAAGTACTTAACAAGTGTAAGCGTTCAGCTTGATCAATGACAAGATTCACAAAAAACTACAGTTTTCAGTAGTGTGAACAAAACCAAATTGTTAAATTACTGACTCTCCTCAGTGTGTACACCCTTTAAGGTACTTGCCATTGTCATAGCCATAAGGAGAATAAAATGTTACCTTTTATCACCTGCGCTATCCTATCATCTTTTAATAATTTTTTTTCAAGAAGGCAAGTTTGGGTGTACAGTACATTTTAAGACTTAGAGGAAGGGGAGTTGCTGTCCACCAAGATTAAGCAACATTCCCCATGAGAAGGTTTTTAAGATTCAGACCTCAGTCTGCCCTCCCCAGATCTTGAAGTGTCTCCCCTCCGCAATCTTGCAATGTCAACTCCAGCATCTCATGTTTGACCTGCACTTTCCAGGGTCTTCCCAATTTGTTATCAGAGACCTTTAACATTCCAATATGTATAATTTCTGCAACAATAATCCATATTGGATTTATATGGCATCCTGGGTATGCATAGCTTCTGATGATCTTTATGCAGAGTTACAAAACATTTGTTTACCGAGACATAGTGGAAATACGTTTTCATTGCTGTAAAAGCTGGTCATGTGGCTGAGTGGTCTCCTCCCTTCACGGCTAGTGATCCAGCTTGTATCCAGCCACCTGCTTTGAAATACAGCTTACCTGAGGAGGGATGTCCTGGGCTGGTAATTTCTGGGAAGATCACCAAGCTGAGATAGAGAAAGGTCCCAGACTGATGAATCATTTGACATCAGGATGTGGTAGGACAGTGATGCTAGATTTTATATATTTGAATGCTATAAATCTGCCTAGCTGAAAACTCCCTCTCTGAACCAGCTGCCTTGTAGGAGTACTTTGAAAGTTCTCAGCCCTGGAGAAGCCTGTATTAAACTCCTAAATCCAAACAGGTCTAAATCTTTCGGTAGCTCTGACTTCTAATCCAAAACTAGGCCTCCCCCACAAAATTTGGATTGCTCCCATAAAGACCTAGGAATGATCAAGTAGAGAATGCATTTGTCATATGACAAATATGCGAGGGAGGGAAACATTAAAGAAACAGGTAATGGAAAAAAAATGTATGTTGAAAGGCATAAAGAATATGAAACAAAAAGAGTCCAGAGAGCTGTCCCAGAACTTTAGGAGCTGTTTCTCATCAGGGTCATGTAGGATTGTGTGTGAGGAGAGAGAAAATACTGTGCTAAATGTCTGGAAAGACTTAGGTGAACCAATGTATAGCTTTAGGAGAAAAGGACAACTTAGAACTATATCCCTGAAATGAGTGTGCATCATGTAGAAATGTTCAAAGATGTTCTCTTTCCACATAGGAGGTGATACTAAGGCAAAAGTGACTGAGAGTGTAGCTGGAAATCTCACCATAGGTGAGCTTGAAACAGTGGATAGACCAGATGGGACTCAAAGGTAAAGCCAACAGGAAAGACCTGGAAGCAGAAGACTCCATGTGGGGAAAAACAAAGAGCTTGAATAATTGCATTTATAAGTGTTTCTCCAGCTTAAATGAAGCACTTATTTATTATGAGACATTAACTGAATGGAGCTGATACATATCTGTAAGTTATTAGAGGGGAATCAAGTTTAAAAAGAGAAATTACTTTATTTCACTTTAAAATGCCCCCAATCCCAATGCCAGGCCAGTTTGCCAGTGTTCCCCAAGCAGCAAGTTGCGCTCTTGCTGCCTCTTGCAGCCATGCAGCATCACAGCAGTGATGTCTCTGCAGGAGGTTTGGAGAAGGGGCTGGTATGTAAGGTACAGGGGGCTTGCTGGCGTGGGAAGGTCCCAGTCGTGGGAAGGATCAGGAGGAGCGCAGAGAAGCACGTGGGGCGGTCAGGTATCCCTGGTTCCAGCCCTCATGGAACAACTTGTTTTCATGTGTTTGCTCCATTTGTGAAAGATAAAAATGGCATCTGGTCTGGAGACTTGGCAAGTTTAATATTAGTAAAAAACAAGCCATAACAAAAACACATGATCATACTTAAAAATACAAGTACCTATTGTTCCTTTTTTATGACAAGGAAATGGATAAAGGGGTAAACTTCTCAGTATATCCTAAACATTAAAAGCTTGATGCCATTTGTAATTGAAGGTGAGGAGAAGAGATCCCCTGTAACAGAACCTGTAAGGGCCCACCTGGAAGTTTTCAGTGGAAGGCACTTTAGGCATTGTGTCAGCAGAGTCGGTGATCATGACCGATAAGTCACCAACAGCGACAGTGAAGATGAAAACAATGCTCACAATGTGCCAATCACCCAAAGATGGAGAAAGGCTTCCATGGATGCATAGCTACTTCTCCTCTCTACCAAATCCTGGGTACTGGCTGACATGAAAGCTGTATGTTGCCAGTATACACCAAGCCCCTGAGTCCATGCTTTATGACTCATGCCCCCTTCAGCAAAAAACCTTGAAATGTCAGTGCCATTTTAAGCCCTGAGGTTTAGTGATACGACTGACTGATTAAAGTCAAGTGGTCCATCTGGCAAGATCACCCTGAATCTGTAGAAAAAAAGAGAAAATTCAACATAAGCACTTCTGATGTGTTTTCTCTAGGAGCGGCAATGGCTATGCATTTACAGACAAGAAGCCATGAGAAAGTACAGTTTGGCTCCCTTAGCTCATAGCGGCTGCAAGTAGATACTGTTCTAAGCAGGGGAGAAAATTATACAACTTGGTGGTAACTGCTGGCACTGGCTTTTTATTGGGAACCCTCAGTAGGAGTTTGTGTGTGTTTCCTAGCAATGCAACATCATACAGTGAGAAAAACAAGCAAAAAGGAAAATGTTTTGGAGATGAATCAGTATCTTTTTGCTTTCACTGGTGGTGTGATTACAGGGAGAGATTGCACTGTTAACTATAACAACACCCCTTGATTTGAAAAGTCACATTTTCATCAAGCCCATTTATAGAAGCTGTCCCCCACAGATAATGTACTGATGACTGGAGAGAACATTTGCTAAAAGAATGGTTCTGGCGTATGATGAATAGTGCTATGCAAGTGGTGGTAAGAGCTCTAAACCCAGTTATTTTTAAAAAGAAGTAGTGCTATTGCTTGCCTTATCTTGTTGGAGCCACAGCTAAGGTCTGAAACCTGGTATAGGTTAGGTTAATCTCTACTGATTTATAATATACCTGACCACTGGTGGTGGCCTGTGATGACCTGATATTCCCATATTTTCTTTTCCCCTCGAGTAGCACTCCAGACTCAGATTTTTCTTGCAGAACCACCAGAAACGCAGTTTACATTTTATCTTGTACACAAACCCACAGGCTGCAGTCTATTTTAATAGCTCCTGACAGCATTTCAGGTACAGAGTAGGTACTTTCTGCTCTAGTGACTCACATATCCGACCTTGGAGATAATTCAGAACATGACTGTAAAAAGGCCCCAAGCAATCTGCTTTGAGCAGGGGGTTGGACTAGATGGTCTCCAGAGGTCCCTGCCAACCTCAGCTATGCTGTGATTCTGTGATATTTTATGTATAAATATTTTTGTGCTGTACTTTGCAAGGAATATTTTGAATGTGATAGCAAATTCCTGCTGAGCTGCACCAGAAAATATACTCAGTCTGAATACACACTAATGCTAAACAAGCATTACTTTATTGATGATCTACATCTGTCATTATGGCAAGAGCAAGAGAAGAGTGCAAAGCAAGTGCAAGAAAGATTAATGACGGAG